GCTCTTATAACTGCATCGTCTTTTGTCTTCCCAGACTTGAGGGTAGTGCTGCATCCCGTGTCTGTGTTTTTGTTCCTTCAGTGCCACCATTTTATATTTGATTCTTCCTATATCTGCTTACCTAATTTCTTATATTAAATGCTCCCTGTTAAGATAACTGGCAGGGTGTCTGTTTTTCAATACTATCTCTGACTAATGGTAGGTTTATTTTACTGTGTGTTTTTCCCATAATCACCACCTACTAATGAGGAACTGGGCATATCCAAGGCCAAATATTCATAAGTGAAAAAGGTCAACTATAAGCAAGACATGATGATTGCTAAGTTTGAAGATCTATTTTTCTGAGAAGCTTACGGTCTGCCCATTCCCAATCTCCACTCTGCAATATCTTTTCCAAGGTTAGCAGAAATATAAAAACATCAATTTCACCTTTATTGACTTTTCAGCTGGGACACCAAGAAAGTCTTTCAGCAGCCCCAATAAATTAAATCTAGCCACCCAGCTCCCAGACTGGCAGGCTCCTACATCATTGACAGGGAAGACAGGGAAAAGCAGTTTTCCCAGATGTTGCTGTAAATGATGTGCATTGTACTCACAGCCATTAGCAGGTGGAGAATTTGAAGTGTGAGTAGATTGAAGAGCTCCCTCTTTTAAAAATGCATAAGCACTTTGTGAGTTTGCTAAATCATGTTTCACTCAGCTGGGCTTGAATTTTTCATAGGGTAGAAATATTCTGTAGTCTTTCCTCTTTGACTTCATATCAGTCAGACTACCACAGTGAAGGCTTTTGTGGAAGCGGTCAACATCTAATATACATTTGCCTGACTGGTCCTCAATTTTTCCAAGTTGTAAAATGTTCAAAAATTTTGGGCTTCTAGGTCTTAGATCAACTGAGTTTCCTGCTCCTCCCCCTTTAATCTAGAGTACAAATTTCTGTTCTGAATTTAAGTTCACTTTATGTATTTTCAGGTAATTTTCTATCCTAGAGGATTCATCCATTAGTGAAATTTTAAGCACTGTTCTGTAAAGATACACTGCTCCCCATATCATGCTATGCCTATATTCTATGTGCTAAGCCCTGTATGTGCTTGTAGTCACTCCCCATTCCCATAACAGGTCAAACATTACTCAATACTCAATATACTTTTCCCCATGTGTCCAGCTGTACTATCAGTGCACTTTCTAACATGGCTCCATTCATAGCTAAATATTAGTTGTATAGTATGTTGGGGAAAACATAACATCTGACAAGCTCTTGATCAGTTTTCTTTATGCAGAATAGGGTCTGCATAACAGTGTCTTAATAAGACCAATGCATTTAAATAAATGGATTAATTTTTGTGTTTCACAAACTATGAAATAGCCTTTATATTAAACATTTCATTTAATTTTCTTAAAACTTCTGTAGAGAAGAAACTTTTAATAGTCTTATTTTCCAGATGAGGAAACAGTCTCAGAGAAGTAATTTATCCAAAGACTGCATTGACTTTTTGTGAGGCCTGACTCTGGAGCCTGAAATATATTCGGTCATGTTATCAATTTGATATAATTCAATATAACGTATTTGGCTCATTCATTCATTAATCAACCATTTTTCAAGCCCATATTATGTGCCAGGTACCAAAAATGATATAATATCTAACAAATTCAACAATGGCTTACTCAAAAATATGGTGGAGCTATTAGGCTTTTTGATCATCAACTAGTTAATAATTTCCCCCCAAAGCAATAGATTTTCTGCTTTCTTTATCATTAATAAATCAGCCTTTTCTTAGAATGAAATGGTTTTCTCTCTACATCTGGTTAATCAATCATAACCTATTTTCTCCCCAAATGGAGAGAATTATTCCAGCCAGTATTGAAACCTCAGCAAATTAGAAGCAAAAATACATTGCAATTTGAAGCACGAAGGTATTTATAAGATCTTTGTTTGCTATAATTGGAGGGATTCTAGAATATCCTGGGTTAGAGAACTGACCTTTCATAGCTCTTTCCACATAGTCAGGACCTGTGAGGATGTCTCAGTGGGACTACAAGGGCAAAGAGTCTCTTGGTACTTACAACACTTTTATGTTCTATTTAAAAACCTTTTTGCTTATGACTAAGCTCTTGGGAAGAGGGTAGTCAAGCAGACAGTTCTTCCAAAAAAAGGAGTGTGGTGGTTTGCTTCTCAACTTGATTATTTTGCAAATTTTACAATGACTCTTCAAATAGTATTCTACCTGGACTGCATTAATGTCATTCTCTTCTTTGCTTTCAAAATAATGTACAGACTTCAGAAAATATCTTATCAATTATCCTCCCCAAATGGTAAAACACTCAAATGTACTCATAAAACATTGAAACATGTGGTAATATGACAGGCTACACTAAAATTAAGTTGTTCAATTTCCCTTTAGTAGTGATAGTGCTTAAAATACATGGAAAGTAATACTTCCATTTTGCCTGGAAGCCACAGGATTCCAGCTGACACTTAAATATGTGATCATCCCAGCAGTTCAGGGAAGATATAGCTGCAGTATTGTCAGGTTCCTGGTATGGTATACAGAGGAAGGCTGCATGCAGTTTTCCACATGAACACACAGGGATCCCTCACACGATGGTGCTTAGTTGTTAAAAGGGCATTTGAAGAAGCCTCAGGTTTCCTTTGGACTCCATTGAGTTGAATGACTTCCATGAGGAAGGTAACCCTTGAGCAGAAACATACAGGGCTTGCATTTCTACTAGTTCAGCAGGGTTTGTGGCCAAAATATTTTGTCATCTTGCTTTAAGGTAATAGGCAAGTGTGTTCTAGAATACATATGTGTATTTGTTCCTTTCTCTTTTCTGTAGTCCCCTTCTTCCTCCCTTTTTAAAAATACTATAATCTATTGCTACACTTTCCCAAAAAGAATCAAGTTACATCAACTCTGGTCTGATGTGGTTACTGCTCTTAGCCCTATTCACTGGAATCATTTCTCAATTGTGTCACATTAGCACAGGGATGGCCAACTTTTGGGAGGTAAAGGGAGTTTCTGCCTACTGAAGGTGAGAAACGATCCCCTCAAAATCCACGCTGGCAGACAGTAGCTGTTCTTCACTGAAATATTTTCAGTCACCAGCTGGTCCATCTTGAGCAGCTTCTCTGTTTCATGGAAGATATTTACTGTATTTGTAATAGCCTGAGATAACTAGGACATTTCTACTGTTGAGATGACTTTCAGCTAATTGGATTGTTGCATTTAATTTAATGGCTATATAAATACAATGATTACTCAGCCACATTTTAGAAAGTGACTTGAAACACAGAGATCGTTCAGAAGCTGTGATTCACAGAAACTTTCTTTACTCCCGCTGGAAAAATGTATCCAGATAAATTGTTTTAACTCATTCAAATATGTAAAGAACAGGAATTATACAAAAAAAGGGCATAACTTTCCTCATAGTATTTTAAATTTCTTGTACTTTGACCATATTAGAAATGCCAATAAAATTGGATCCTGTTATAATGTGACCTATTATTTATGAGGATTAGACATAGTGAAATTAAACTAGGTTTCCTTTACAAAATGAATAAAGATACTATATTATTCTTGCCTTTAATATTAGTAGCACAAAGAGAATTACTTTTTTAATTTTTCATGGTTTCAGAGCAATAGAGTATATGAAATGCCCAGCCTATATGATCAATATATAGTATTAAGTTCATGGCTTTGAGAAGACTGTAGTTCTTCAGAGGGTGGAAAATGGGGAGCAAAGACTTACATTTGGAGAGTGTCATGATTGTGGACTCTTCTAATTCATGGAGCCACCGTGAGTCTGAAAAATTGTTCTGTTTCCATATTGCTGAATGCAGGTTTATAAGTCAAGACTTAAGAAAATGTAGAGAAAAGGACTCACACTGGCTTAAAAGTAACAGGGAGTTTAATGGATCACATAACTTAAAAGCCTGTTGACAAGAATAGCTGCAGGTGTGGCTGGATCCAGGTACTTAAAAGTTGTTGTTAGGACACATTCTTTATTAAAATTCTATGCTGCTCCTTCAGCTATTTCCTGAGATGACAATGAACACTTCACTATGTCTACTTTAGAGAGCTTATGGTCTGGTAGCTGAGATGCATAAGATAAAAAAAAAGAATTTTAATTGTAATAATGAGGCTCTTACACTATTTCTGCAGAAAGGTAAATAAGGACTCCAGAGAGAGGTTAAAGCTTCAACATTCTTTTCAAGGAAAGGAAAAATTTCACAGACAGGCAAATTAAAGAAAGAACAGTTAATTGCTGTGGTTATGATATTGGGAGATCTGTATTTAAATCCAAGATCTGCCACTTATAAGTCGTGTAAATTGTAGCAAGTTTCTTAAACTCTTGAGAGTCTTCGTTTCAAAGTATGGAAATTAGAAGTAGAAGTATTGAATTTATAGAATTATCATGAGGACCAATGAGAGCACAAACCTTAGATGGGACTCACACAAGCAATCCTTCCCTCACTGGCCCTGTCGTTCCGCACATAGATCCTCCTCACTGTTGAACCTGACTGCTATCACATGGGGTTTTGGATTAGGATTTAGCATTAGCCATGGGAAAAGTGGCTAGCATTTACTGTGTGCATACTGTGTGTTGCAGAGTGCATTTCATCGGACTCATCTCAAACTCTCCTATAACTCTAGGAAATAGAAAAATTATCCTCATCTCACTGATGAGGAAACTGAAGCTATCAAAATTCAAGGAGTCTGCTAAGGTAACAAGATTGATAAAAAGTGTAATTGGATATTTCTGTCTAGGGCATCTGTGGGTTTAAGCATTATACTACCTATTCTATGTTATATACCACACTATTATCGTCTTCCTGCCCTCTAGGATTTGGCTTCTGGATGGTGCTCTTGTAGCCCACCCTGTGTTCATCCTGCTTCTTCTAAAAGCCTAGCTGTGTGATGCTTGTGCCTGTGTTTGCTGCTGTGCTGCTACTACAAGCTGAGTTGGCATTAATCCCCCGGGTTCTGTGCTTGCTTCCCCTGCAGGTGAGCCTTCTAGGTGGTCGTCCTCCCATTGCGATTGCTGCTGCAAGAATGGCAAGGGCGACAAAGAAGGGGAAAGCGGCACATCTTGCAATGACCTCTCCACCTCCAGCTGTGACAGCCAGTCTGAGGCCAGCTCCCCCCAGGAGACGGTCATCTGTGGGCCTGTGACACGCCAGACAAACATCCAGACTCTGGACCGTCCCATCAAGAAGGGCCCAGTCCAGCTGATCCAGCAGTCAGAGATGCGGCGGAAAAGTGATCTGCTCCGGACTCTGACTTCAGGCTCTAGGGAGTCGAACATGAGCAGCAAAAAAAAGGCTGTTAAGGAAAAGCTCTCAGTTGAGGAAGAGCTGGAGAAATGCATCCAGGATTTTCTCAAGATCAAAATTCCAGATCGATTCCCTGAGAGAAAACACCCTTGGCAATCTGAACTCTTACGGAAGTATCATCTATAGGGGAGGGCTGGCGGTGGGAGAACAAAAACAAAAACAAAATCAAGTTACCATTTTGAAATAAACCTCCTAAAAGAAATTCATATTTTAAAGGAAAAATAACAACTAATGATGCATATTTGTTAGAACACAATAGTCCATTGATATACACTACTGCCTACTTTTACCTTGTTCACCTTAACATGTAAATCCACAGGGTAAATTTCTTTCCAGATGTGGAAATACAAGAAAAAAAATTTTGTTGTTGTTTGTTAACTTGGTCCCTTGTGCTCAGTATCTTCTATATAATGAGAACCAGCTACATGAGAGTAGCTGACAGACCGGGGGAGTTATTTATCCCAAACTGGGCTTTTTCTCTCATTTTCTACCTCCTTCCCTTGAATGAGGGTATGTGGTAGAAGGAGATCTGGCCAAATGGCATAGGTTTAGTTTTTATTATTATTCTTTTCTTTTTCCTTTGTTTATGGGGTGAGGGGCAATGGCAGATTTATATGATTTTTCTCTTAAATCTATATGTGCCAGTTTATATTGACTCCATATGCATGAGTATTTGTGCAACACAAGCACAACTAAGTCTGTATATAAACACAACGCACAGGACCCAGGGCCTGGGCATCCTAAGGGCTGTGCTCCTGTTGCCAGCAGCCCCTCCCAGAGCCCTTCATACACATGAACCTCTGCCTGTTTCTTAAAAGGCTCACTTGCTCATGGGCAGATTTCCCAGCCTCTCTTGGCAACACTTTCTAACATTGAATAACCCTCATCATCAACAAATTGTCTTCCTTATTTTAAAATTAAAACCCTCACACTCCATTTTACAACCTTGCTCTTTCTCTGCATTAGGAGATGGTGAGAAGAGCTAGTCAGATATTCTTTGCATTAAACAAACATTTATATTAATAAAAATAACTACTGAATGAGTTGGATTATCACCCTCCTCTCAGTGTTTCAGAGTTCTTACAACAGTTTACTGGTGTGGCCTTTCTACAGAAGTCACACAAAATCCTCTGTGTGAATTGTGGAGCTAAGAACAACATACCATGTTTGGATAAGGGTAGAGCTTTTGTTTGTTTTTGAGGAATTGCATTTCACACACCTCCTAATAATTTCTCATAAGAATTTTAAGTTACAATGCTACATTATTACTTGCTTGTAGTCAGTTTTGGTTTGCCTGCAGGATTCGGGTATTTGGCTGTGTCCATACTAAGATTTAGTTGTGTCATTTCTGTGACATCCATGACAGGATGGTAACTGGAGGTAACTGGAGGCTCCAAAGTTAAGATTTTGGCTTTCTAAACTATCTTTTTTAATCATATCCTTGACTGTATGGACACAGCCAAAAATAAAATGTTAATAGCTATCCATGTGACTTTGTATTTTATTAATGCACCAATAGCTAGTTCTTTTGTAGACTTGTGCTAAATGAAGGTTAAAAGATCAGTTTTAATTTTCAGCATTCCTCATGCATTTCAGTGGTAACTGAAAAAATAATTTGTCAATTATTTATTACGTGCCAAGTACGCTTAAATATTTTGTTGTGTGTGTCTGTGTGTCTCTGTGTGTGTGTCTGTATGTGTGTGTGCCTCACAGGTAATAAAGGCAATTGGATGGGGTCTGTAGGAGGAAGACCTAATGATCACTTTTCTCCTTTTTGAAATCTTTGACTGACACACATTTACTATGTAAAAGTTTTGTATTGATTTGTTATTAGTGCTCATCAGTGTATGAATATCTTTCTAAATTTTTGTATTTCTTGCCTTCATACCTGGGCAAATAGACTCAGACAATGTTTTCTTGTCCTACTGATTCAAATGGAGTTTAAAGTTTTACTTAGGTTAAAGAAAGAAATTTTAGGAGTTGTCAAGAGATTTATAATTTATGGATTTGAGTGTTTTTTTATGTATCAATATATTAGCAGATATTTGATTTTAACTACAACATAGCTTGCTTGTGAAACCTATCTATATGCTTTCATTCTTTTTAAATGTGTCTTATGATACATCAAAATACCATCATCTTAGTAACAGTGGATTCTGCAAAGAATCACAGAGCTCAATGAGTTATGAAGAAATTGAATTTAAAACTTAAATTGATTAAATAATTTTTGTAGTCTCATTGGAAGGGCTTTCAAAGAATTTGGAATTTAAATAAATTGGCCCAAGCCTCAACTTCCTTAAATTTCATACCTAGCTATAATAGCATCAAGATAGAGACACAAGCAGGTAAGAACTGAAGAACTGAGTTGGCAGTCAACCCACTTTTCCTACTGTATACATCAAACAGGACATTAAATACTGCCCATGAGGTGTTCATTGTACATCACCTCCAGCTCCTGGGCAGTTATGATTTTGTTTCAGTGAAGGTATTCTTTATATACCCAGTGAACAAAAGTAGTAGTAGGAAATCTTTTAAAACAACAATGGGACACTTTTATTTTTAGCTGTCTCTAGACCGGCACCTTCTGCTTTGTAAAATTTCTAATAGTTAAGACAGTAGCACGGTGTTCATCTGTGTGATGTTGGAATAGAGACGAATATCACCTGGGTCAGTGAGTGGCTCTGAGGAAACGCTGAGTTACCTACCGTGGCCCAGCCTGACTGCAACATCGGAAATGAGTTCTAGTTATGTGAGTTATGAGATTAAATGCACTAGTGGCCCTGGTAGTCAGTCCTGTTTCACTGATGTTAAAGTGGTTTTTAGAACTTTTAGTTCAATTCTGGACAAAACCATATATGTAGTTCACTTGTTGAACACTGATTATGACAAGAGCACTGAATTACTGATACAAAGAAACTAATAGCATCAGGTGGGTCAAATGAATGGGGAATCTTATTGTAAAGCTCCCATTTAGGTTGTCTCCTGTGAAATCCCACAATTCTAAATCCAACGAGCATGGGAAGGCCTTTTCCTGTAAGTGAGTTGGTCCCCCCTTGGTCCCCCAAGTCACAAACATATTGATGAAGTCCTCCTAACTACTATCAACAAAAGGAAGTAATCTACATTCAGCAGAAAAACAGTAAGGCAGGAAAATAAAAATACCAGATCATTCCGTCCTATGCTAAGAAATGATTGTACTGAGATGTGGTCGCGAGAAAAGGCAAAATGGCTTCCAAAGTAGTATTCAGTGTTGTTTTTTCCTTTGAAATTATAGGCGCAGATACTTTTCTGGAAATGCCTAAGTGGTAATTTAAAATAAAAGAGGAGAACAATGCTCTCATTAGCATTTCTTCTGTTCTTTAGTCCTTCACAGTTATGTCTATTCCAACTGATTCACTTTGGGGGGGACACATGGATTAAAGGAGGCTGACAGAATTTTTCAATTTTCAGTTGGCCTTGTTTGATTTAGAGGCACCTTTATTCACAGGCACAAGTGTGTTGCTCATTCTGGATTCTCTTGTTACCACTGCTTGTGCTGCTAGTTTACTTTTGTTTCCCTGGGCTTTATAATCCTCCCTGAGTATCTTTTGTCAATGCTAAGCAAAACCTGTTCCAGTGAGAAAAAGAAAAAGTGTTTTTGCAAAATCACCTGACATTAGTTCCTGCAGTAGGAGTTAAACTTTGATTCTCAAACATCCTTTTTCTACAGTTTTGATCTTTCAGTTTTCATCTACTGTGAAGGCCTAACACAGTGCATGTGAGTGCTAGTGTTTTCTGCCACTGGATACATTGCTATGGAATTTGACTAACCTTGGACTTCTAGATGATCTTTACTAGAAATAATAAGAATTTTCTCTGAACTTTTTGGAAAGAATCTTTGTCACCTCCACTTGAAGTAGCAATTTTCTAACAAAAACTAAAGGGAGTTATTTTTTCCCCAGGTGACTCTGTGGCAGATAAATGTTTTTGCCAATTTACATGCTGGGCAATAGGTTTAGTATGGGCCATTGCTCTTTCATATCTTGGCATAGTTGATGTCTTGCAGTCTTGATGGCCCCCTGTTTCAATTTATTTATTCTCTTTTATATTGTCAAAATAATACACTACAGAAAGACTCAAAATGAGTATTCGGTATTCTGAGTTACAATGGAGTTAGATGTCATTTGTACAGGCCTGTATGATGATTAATATCTGCAGAGAAATTAGACCAAATGTAACCTGCTGGAATGGGTTTGATTTATGTTCCTTTCATCCTTCTGTTCTTAGATGAAATGGTTATTGCTCTCCACCCCAGCTGAAAGAGAAGTATTAAACGTTAATAATCACTATCTCGTGATGCAACCACAGTTTATTTGTTTGAAATATTTGCTTTTCTTATCTTGATGTATATACTGGAATGAAGAGTCTTTCCTGAATTACCTCATTGCAAACATTTCAGTAGTGATTCACAGCACTCAATATGCACAAAATCATCTAGAATTTTTTAAAATGCAGATTTCTTCACTTTAACTCCAAAGTTTGAGTTAGAAATTTGAATCAGGCCCAAATAATCTGCATTTTGCAAAAGCATTCTTACTGAGTTTAATGAAGATGGTCTATTGACCTTTTTTTGAGAAACTTCCATTTGGAGACTATGGAGAGGTCAAGATTTCTCTCACTTGCTAATGGTGCTTCCTTATCCTCTCACATTCTTCCCTCTACAAATAAGTCAAAGCATGTATTATTCATTATCTTAAAAGAAGAGGCTCAAAATAGAACATTGGCAGAACTAGGGTAGATTAGATTTTATCATTATCCCTTTGCCATTCATCTGCTTCTCAGGCACAGTCCCTTGCCTGCAGGGTGTATTTGTGCCCCATCCCCACCCCATCATTACAGGTTTTTTTTTGTTTGTACCTGGGATCGAACTCGGATCCTTGCACTTGTGAAGCAGGCAGCAGAACCACTGAGCTAAATCCCTGGCCTGGGAATACACATTTAAATGAGATATAACCTGATGATAGCTAACAAGGAATAATGATAATGATCTTTCCCAAGGAGAGCTGCTCATTTGCTTACTCATTGTAAGTCAGAGAAACTTGAGAGGTGACCCATTACTTAATAATGACTATGGCCCCAAAGGTGGTTCTGTTAGATCTATGCGAATGTGGATTGATTAGTGAATTTTGGTTTATTTTGTCAATAAAATCCTGAACCACTGCAATATTTGTTTTTCCCACTTTGAGGTAGAACTAATGAAGTTCTTGAACTCTAACTAGAAATTTGAAGCAAAAACCCATATATGAGAATAAATGTAAAAGAAGGGATGAATTCCAAATGGTATTATTCCCTATGTAATTTCACAAAAGAAAGTGAAGTCCAGTAATTTTCCAGTCACTCTGACCAGAGGAGATGGGTATGCTGTGATTATTCAGATAAAAACCAAAACAAACACAAACACCCTAGAAGGCTATAATGATAACCTAGTTGGCCCTACCCATATAATAAAGTAACAGGCTAGATATCAGATTCCCACTTTACAAGAAATAGAGAATGGACGGATTAGAGAATGAATGGCTCCTCATGATCATTAGTGAATATTTAATTAAAGATTATTGCCAAAGCAAACTAAGGAATAGTTAATAAAATTGATGAACTTGTGTAGCTAATTAAGATTATTTGGTCAATATAGAAACAAAACAAATTTGATTTGGTTTGTTGCCTTCTCGCCTTCCCAAATGAGATCTCTACTACCCCAACTTCCTGACCTTTAAAGAATGTTCCTCTTATCTGTGAACAAATTGTGTTGTTAATTGGGTAATTAATTTTAAGTTTTAGACCTCCATCCTTGCTTTATTGAGGGGAATTACTTTAAAAAGGAAAAATGTGTCCTGGCCCAGCAATTATCAAGGGAGTTGTCTTGGGGGAGGGTGAAGGTGATTTTCCTGTCAATCAACCTTTAAAAGCACTTAACAAGAGATTTAGTAAGTCTCCTTTTTCCAGTGATAAGCTGTCTAGCCAATTCATTCTTAGAATTGAACTTTAGCTAATTTATCTACATTTGCACAATAAAAATCAGTGTCACTTCAGATCCTCCTTGATGTAGGTTCCATCTAGCACAATGGAAACAATACACTCCAAAAAAGTAGTGAAGGGTTGTTTCAAATTTGTATTTGTGTGTGTGCACGCGGCCTAGGTGTAATTATCAGGTTAGTGTTGGGTCAGTGGCTAATGTCCATGTGAGTGCTGAGTGCCACAGGGAAGAACTCTTTGGTTACAAAGTTGAACAGCTGTTTAGTTCTGAAGGATGCTTGTCTTATGGTGGATATCAGTCCTTGGGAATGTAGAGTAAAATGGTCTTTTGATATGACATTACAGATTTCTGGGGGAAAATCAAAACTTCTTTTTTTGGTTTTCATTTATATGGTCAAGAGTAACATCTTACCAAAAAGAAAAGAATAAGAAAGAAAAAAGAATAGGGTGTTAGGACCCAAGACTTCATTGCTAGGTAAGCACTGTTCCATTAAGCTGCACCCCCAGCCTCTTAGAATTCACTTTTGAAAGCTAAAAGACACAGAATTCACATTGATCACCAGCAGTGTTTCCCAATTACAGCCAATGGTCCGGAGTTTATCTTTTTATATGGAAGACAGACAGAGACAGTTTTAAGAAAAGTCTCTTTGATTTGTGTGCCTTGTGTGATTCTCAACAAGGAGTGATTCTGTAGCCCAGGGGCCTATTAGCAATATGTGGAGACATTTTTGATTGTTATGATTGAGGGGTGCTGTTGACATCTAATGGATGGAAGCTAGAGATGCTGCTAAAAATCCTACAATTCACAGTAAAGTCTGTTACAACACAGAATTTTCCATTCCCGTGTTTAGGTTGAGAAACTCTGAAGGCTTGGTTTAAATTTGTGAAGCATTCTTCCTGTACCATGTCCAGAAGTGATGAGATAAAATAGAACAATAATAGTTACCAACTTAAATGTATATAGGATTTATTTAAAGTTAGATACAATTA